GTGTGTGTGTGTGTGTGTGTGTGTGTTGGTCGCGCTGCCAGCCCAGCTACCCACAGTGACACTGCGCCGTCCAGCCGCCCAAAATTCCCCTTGCCCTTTTCCCCCTTCCAGACGGCACTCTCTCGCGGTCCTCTCCAGATTCCGGGTCTAGGGTAGCTGGTCGAGCTCCCGGCTCCATTTCCCCCCTCCCCAGCCTCTCTCTCTCCCTCTCGCTTCATCATACCCGTGTACTGTCGCGCTACCGCCTCCTTCTGCCCTTTCGTATAAGATCCTGCCTGCTCCGCCCTCAGCCCCGCGAAGCGCCTCTCCCTTTTCCCATCGGCAGTAGGATATCCCAACTGCTTCCTTTATGTTTAGCATTCCCCAGATCATGAGGACAGCCGTCCGTAACGCCCCGGCGGCTGCCGCCGGCCGCAACGCCGTTCCCGCCGCCGCCGCCAACTTCGCCACCGCCGCTCCCAAGGAGACCAAGAAGCGCGCCTCCTCCACCACCACCAAGGCCAAGGCCGGCACGTCCAAGGCCTCGGCTGCTTCCGCCGCCGCCGCCGCCGAGAAGAAGCCCAAGGCCAAGGCTCCCAAGAAGGAGAAGCTCAAGCCCTGGCAGGCACGCGGTGCCGACGGCAAGCTCCTCCCGCTTCCCTCGGCCAGCAAGCCGACGCTGCGCTCGTCGTTCCTGATCTACATGTCGGAGCGCGTCTCGCAGCTCAAGGGCGAGCCCCAGTACCAGAAGACGTCGCCCAAGACCGGCGCACAGGTCGTCGACATTGTCAAGATGGCCAAGGCCGTCGGTGCCGAGTGGGCCCAGCTGCCTCCCAACCAGAAGGCGCGCTACGAGGCCCAGCACGAGCAGGAGAAGGAGGAGTACGAGCGCGCCCTCGCCGAATGGAAGGCCGCCCTCTCGCCCGACGACATCAAGCGCCAGAACGCCTACATTGCCTCGCAGAAGAAGAAGGGCATCAAGGGCACCGCCTTCCTGCGCGACCCCGCCAAGCCCAAGCGTCCCAACTCGGCCTTCTTCGAGTTCCTCAACGACCTCCGCGCCAGCGAGTCGGTCATCCCCAACATCACCGAGTTCAGCAAGCGCGGCGGTGAGCGATGGAAGCAGATGACGCCCGACCAGAAGGCACCATACGAGCAGCGTGCTCTCCAGGCCCTCGAGCAGTACAAGCGCGACCTCGAGGTCTACAACAGCACCCGTGGCCCCGAGCTCTAGACGGGCTCTCGGCATCATTCGTCTGCCACCCCTCCCCCCCTTGACCCGCCTCCCGGTGCTCTCGACCCGCGGACGTGTCTGCTTCTGTCGTTTCTCGTCTCCTTCTGTTCTGCCCTGCCCGACTCTTGCCTGCGATGCCACCGTGCAAGCGCGGTGACGGTGGCACCGCTGGCGAAGTGCGCTGGGGCCGTCCCTTGTCCGTCTAGCTTCGAACCTGTTGTACTGTAGGATCTCTTTCTCAACACCCTTCTGACTTGTACTCTTCACGTGGCTCAGATTGTATTGCCTGGCGAGATGCAGAGGTCGGTGCGAGTGCGGATGGTGTGAGCTGGAGGGTGCTTGGTGAGTTGCTGTGCGCAAATGCCTTCGGAATGCGGACGCGCGAGCGGATAGACTGAGTGGGAGCATGGTTCCGAAGGAGAATGGTTGCGAGTGTTGGTGTTGGTGTCTGGGCGAATTTACGGCGGCACGTCTTCTGAGCGCGTTGTTTGCGAGGGTCTCCGGCACCGACAGGGTCCCGGCTCGGCAGCCCAACCACGCACGGACACGGCAATTCGAGATGCGGAAGCGTTTCGCAATTAGACTCGTTGTAGTCGCCGACACCGACAGGGTGCGCCACTGACAGGAGGATCCGCCGTCGACAGGAGGACCCGCCGTCAACAGAGTCCGCCGCGACGACACTAACTCACGGACACGAGGGCCGATGCGGAAGCGCTTGGTGTGAGCGCGGAGTGTTGCCGAATTGCGGAGGTGCGTAGTACTGGCTGTCCCAGGCTCATCATTGCACCCACTCATCTCGAGCTCTCGCAGAAGCAGCTCTCGAACGTGCGGTGGTCGCGGAAAAAGAGACGGCCTGGAAGGCACACACGAAAAAGGTACGCAGCTGCTGGGGAGCTGTGTCTCAAGACGAAGAAGGGGGAGGAGATCCTCGTCGATGAAGACATTTATCGACGTTACTTCAACACTCCTATCGCTGTTCCTACCAGTACCGGCCATCCAAGGCTGGATACCAATGAGTACCTTCATCACCTCGCGCAACCGCTGCTGTCAGGACGCGGTCGGAGGTGCCGCCCTCAGGCGTGAGCAGCGCTCGACTTGGTCGCCTGCAAGTACACCCTC